CTGACCTGAAGGGGTGCCGGTGTGCACTCCGCCGCAGTGCTGTGTTCTGCTGCCCACGCCCTCCCTCTGTGCGCCTTCCGGTCTGCCCGCTGGGCAGGAGAAAGAGGGCTTGTTGTGCCTTCCGTTTGGATGTCTCCCAGAAGTAAAGTGAAGCACCCACGTGTGTGCACAGGACACGTTTTGTGTTTTCCACGCATCGGCTGGTTTCCCATTTGCTGTTTGAGTCGCTGCTGTCTCTAACTTTCTGTGTTTGACTGACGACTGACGTGGGGCCTCGCGCGTGCTGAGGGGACGGCCCTTCGTCTTCCGTGTGGCCCAAATCCCCGCTTTGTCCTTTGACTCTTGATTTTGTTTCAGTGTTTGTTGTCCATGTGAAAGTTGTAGTTTTTGTGTAGTAAAGTTCATCAGTATTTTGTTGTTTCTGAGTTTTATGTCATCTATAAAAAAAGTCGGTGTAATTCCAATTTTATTCTTCCTAGCAGGACTTTAGCATAAGGCATCTTCCCTACTATTATAAAATGGCCCTTAATCTCGTCCCTGAATTTTTGTATGTATTCGATTCTGTTCTGCTGACTCTTGTCGTCTCTGTTTATGTGCCATGTGAAAAGATGTTTTTCAGTTCAACTTATGTACAATTTTACTTTTAACGGATGTTTCTCAGAAAGGTTTTGGTTATTCTTGCACACTTCAGTTTCCTGACGGCTTGGAAATCCATCTGCCTGATCTGTCCGTTGGGCATATGTGTACAGGCGGATTCATGGCATTTTTGGTGACATTGCAGACATTTATGAATTGGTTTAAGAGCTTTTCTGTAATGCCCAGTCTTGTTCCAAGAACGAGACACACCAGTGGTGTTTTAAAATTTTTGTCACATAGATTTTGCAGGCGTGTTCCTTACAACTTTGTTGCAGGCATTGTCGCTGTGCTGTGTCCCCTTCCAGTCTGCTCTCTGCCTCTCTGTGCTGGGAGGTGGTGGGTTTTGTAGTCCTAACTTTGCACTCCGCTACTTGACTAAAGTGTCTTTAGTATACTAGTTTGTAAGCGATTCCCTTAAGGTTTCCCCGTGTGGAGCGCCCTCTGCAGGTGGCTGTTCCCTCGGGCTTCTGCTGCGCTCTGACCTCCGCCCCACTCACGCGCTTCTCTCCCTCTGTGTCCCCAGCGCAGCGACGGCCCCTACGCCCTGGTGCTGGTGCCCACGAGAGAGGTAAGCACTTCCGGGCCACTTTTAGGCAAGTGCCTCTGGTGATCTGTGGGACTTCCAAGGAGCCTCCCCTTGCCTCTCCCGCTGCAGGACCCACCCCCCCATCCTGGCAGGCGCTCACCTTCCAGTGCTGTCCGCAGCCAGAAATCACATATGGAAACGCTTGTCCCTTTTTTGCGAAGGCGAATGGCACTGCAAATTTTGTGACAGGCAGTATAATGTTGTGCAATTGAAGTCACACTTTGCACTTTGTTCTTGCTCCCCTTAGTTAAAAGTGAATGAGTCCTGATCCAAAGCGACTTTCTGGACGTTTTATACCAACAACTTGAGACTTAAGCTTAAAATTTTTAAGTTAAGCTTCTCAGTGATTTTCTTCCCTCTCGGAGAAGTCTCTTTGATCCACTGTACCTGCCGTCGGTGGCGATTCGGGGTAATGTTCTCTGTCCTTACAGCAAGTGCTGACCTTTCCCCTGTCTAAGAGCTGATCATGGCCACGGGGGCTGCAGCTCAGCCCAATGGAGACAAGCATCCGGGGACTTAGACCGTGGCACACTCGCCACGTCCCCGCGGGCCACATGGATGTTAGGCATGTGGGGACTGGGCCTCGGCGGGTGAAGGGCTGGAGCCAAGCTCTTCTGATGGTGCTTAATCATTTTCACCTCCACTGACTGTTCACTTTTCTGGTTTCCGCTGCCTGTGGCTTTGAGTGTCTCCCTTCAGTAACACGGAGTGAACGCCTCCCACTCCGACACAGGCCTCTGTGGCCTGTTCAGTCTTGACACCTTTAAAGCTGAGTTCCCAAGGTGAACCTGTTCCCGCTCAGCCCTGGGCTAGCCGGTTCCCAAAGGTGAACCTGTTCCCGCTCAGCCCTGGGCTTTCCTGTTCCCAAAGGTGAACCTGTTCCCGCTCAGCCCTGGGCTTTCCTGTTCCCAAATGTGAACCTGTTCCCGCTCAGCCCTGGGCTTTCCTGTTCCCAAGGTGAACCTGTTCCCGCTCAGCCCTGGGCTTTCCTGTTCTTTCTCTTCCTAAAGAGCCAAACCAGGTGGAGGTTGTCTCCTTCTCTTCTGTCTTCGAGCACTCTGCTCTCTGCATGGCTCTGTGGGAATTTGAGCCAGCAGAGGGAGCACAAAACACTGTTTTTGTGTTTGTCAGGAAATGGATGTGCCGCCTCTGCCCACATTTCCCAAACGGGCAGCTCTCAGTTAGCTTTTAAGAACGGGGCATTTTTCCTAGCCGATTCTGTGTATAGGATTTTTGTTTCCTAAACCTGAGGTGAGGTCTCCATTTGGATTGCAAGCACTTTCCATTGTCTAAATGAAAAATTTCTAGAGAGAAGAAATGACCTGTAACTTTAATATTTACAGCTGGCTCTCCAGAGCTTTGACACTGTCCAGAAGCTGCTTAAGGTAAGGCAAGCCATGAGTTCAGTTTTATGCTTTTTTTCTGACTTTTAAGGAAAGAAATACACTGCTCTCTTGTCTTTATTTTCAAAGAGCTAGACATTACTGTAATTGCCCTCTGCCCCCGGATGTCTGCTCTCCCGAGGTGGCTCTGTCAAACCTCACCAGCTGCCGTTTCTGGCTTAGCTAGCTGACTTGAGTTTCCTGGACTTAAGACTCCGCGTCTGCTCATCACATCGCGAGCAACTGCACACTGACGTCCACAGGTGCGGCCTTAAGATGACCAGTGGGAAGCAACTTCAAAAGCTGCAAGTAGCTGTGTGAGAAGAGAGAGGAGTCAGAGCGAAGCCTGCCCACCGCCAGATCAGCTCAAGAATCTCTTTTCTCTTAGCCAGCCTGGGCAGCAGGGAAGGCTTGTGCTTGGGTTTTATCTTACCCGAGAAGGAAAAAAATAGTGACATACTTACTGAAATGTGTTTTCAATTCCTGCTCCGTGGGGAAAGACAGAGAAGCTACTCGAATTGCTTCAAGAGGCACATTCCTCTCGCCCGAAGTGGAGGCTAGTTAGGCGACTGTCATTCAAATCAGAGTGATGGTGACATCGGGGTGGCCATGGTGTCTGCACGGTGGCATCTCGTCGTGAGAGCCTGAGTCCTCCTGGGAGGCTCAGCTTCCTGAAGGAAAAGGAACTTTGAGCTTGTCTGTTTTTAGAGTATGGGGCTTCGCATTAATTTTGGTCTGATGTCTTTCTCTAGCCATTTACCTGGATTGTGCCTGGAGTGTTAATGGGAGGAGAAAAGAGAAAATCAGAAAAAGCCAGGTAGGGGAGGATTGTTTGTTGTCGATTCTTTTCAGAACGCGTCCTGCTTTCCTGTTTGGTCAGGCTTGTCCTTCTACGCCTGGAGAGGGCCTGGTCTCAGTTCTGCCTCCTCGGACCAGTGCGTGGGGACAGATTGAGTCGGCGGTGAGGGCACCTGGACCATGCTCTTTCTCAAAACGGATGAGCTCACAAGGCCTGGCCATGCCCTTTGCCAGAACTTTGGCGCCCTGCAGCCCCGCTGTTCAGGAGTATCCCAGGGTGGCTCCCCTTGCAGACATTCAGTGTTTGGGGTGCTGTTGTTTGATTTTACAAAATTAACATGATAAACTTACATGCTGCTTTGCATCTTGCATCTTGTACCCAAATGCATTGATTCCTGATTCTGTAAGGACCGGTGATGGGTGTCAGGAGAGAATTATTGCCACAAGTAAATCCAAAATTGTCTGCTTCGTTTGCAAACACATTCTGTGTCTTACCGCCTAATGCCCATCAGTAGCACAGCTGTGCATGCAGTCTCACTGAGGAGCGAACACGGCTGGGGTGCAGCTACCCATCAGTAATGAGGAGCAGGGCACAAACAGTGTGGGAGTGTGACTTTGCTGCTGCATCCTGGAAACCCGACAGCACCCACCCCAGCCTGGCTGGCACCCCGGGTAGGACCCAGGCTCCCCCTGTCTTTTGTCCACCGAGTAAGGCTTCCATTTTTTTTTTTTAAGATTTATTTATTGATTTGTACAGAACTAGGGTACAGGCCAGAGATGTGGAGGGTGAGAGGATTCACCAGGGACAGAGTGGGGAGCAGAACAGGCAGATCGACAAAGTACACTGCTGAGAGGAGCAGCAGGCTGGCAGGAGAGGTCTGCTGTGCCATGTGGGTCTCCTCCGGGGCAGGCGGGGATCGAACTCATGCTGCAGTGGCTTAAGCTTCTTTGTGCTGTGCTTTAACCCGCTGCACCACCAGGGAGGGCCCAAGGCTTCCATTTTTAAGACTACCTCACAGTGTTGGAGAGTTGCTGGAGCTCCCTCATTACATCTGATTTCCTGCTGACAGGAGCAAGGATAGTCATGCCTCGTCTCTGTAAGGCACTGGTGGGGTAGAGACACATGGCCACACTTAAATTGCATGGGAACCTGGAAAATACACATAGTCAAAAACTGGGGACTTTTATTATTATGGAATAACGGGGTACAGAATATTTGGGGAATATGGAGTCAGAGTTATTCTACCCAGTCTGTGGGACAGAGCTAGGCCCATTGCACTGAAGTTACAAAAGGAATTCAGTATGAGAAAAAACGTTCTGGCCACGACAGCATATGGGCCTGACAATGCATTCAGGTAAGAGCTTCTGTGGCACAGAAGCCTTTAAAAACAGGCTAGAGGACCGTCTGTCCAGAATGTTCTTGAAAGAATATGGATGCGGGCCCTCGCTAGTGGTGCAGTGGTTAAAGCGCAGCACTGCAAAGCTGCCGCAGCCACCTCAATGGGCGTTCGATACCCCCAGCCTGGGAGGTGACCCACAGGGCGCAGCAGACCTCTCCTGTCTCGTCCGCTGCTCCCCTTAACAGTGTGTTTCGGTCAGTCTGCCTGTTCTGCTCCCCGCTCTGTCTGGTGAATCCTCTCAACCCCTGCACTTCTGGTCTGCACCCAGTTCTGTGTGCATAAATTCAAAAACCTTGAAAAAAGAACATGGATGAGGTAAAAGGCATTGGATTATAAAGATTTCTTTCAATGTTAAGGCCTTATGGCTTTCATATAATTTCAGACCTTAATAGTTACACTGCAGGGAAGAGACAGTTCAGAGGAAAATGAACCTCGGTGCCCAGCGACGCTGTGCGGCGCTTGGTGCGGCCCTGCCACATTCCCGCTCTCCAGGCGTCCAGCCCCACTTGACTTACTTTCTTTTATGATGTGTGATTTTTTTAACAGACTCCGCAAAGGAATAAATATCCTTATATCAACTCCCGGACGCCTGGTGGATCATATAAAATCCACAAAAAACATTCAGTTCAGTAGGGTACAGTGGCTGGTTCTGGATGAAGCGGACAGGTGAGCCTTGCCCAGGGCGCAGTTGCCACCCGGCAGCGGCTGTACCCTCAGCCCGTGTGTGTCTCTCCTGGAGTAAAGTTCCTTTTCTCGAAACCGCAGAATCTTGGATTTGGGCTTTGAAAAGGATGTCACGGTGATCCTGAATGCTGTGAACGCCCAGTGCCAGCGGCGACAGAACGTCTTGCTGTCGGCGACGCTCACAGAAGGCGAGTAGAAAGAGTGACCTTCGGGCCGAGGCCTGACGGCTTCATTGCCGCAGAGGTTCTTGACCCAGGGTGCCGGGGACTACCAAGGTACCCCTGAGGACTGCTTTTCCATCCATCTGCCCTTGGACACAGGGCTGACCACCGTCAGCCCCCTGGGCTCGGGAGGTTAGCGTGCGACGAGGGCCCCAGCGCGTCAGTGGAATCCCCCGCCTTTCCTAAAGAGGCGTGCCTGACGTCTCCTGTGCCTTCTCGCTTGATCCCAGGCGTCACCCGGCTGGCTGACATCAGTCTGCACGACCCTGTCAGCATTTCTGTGCAGGATGACAACTGCGCTCCATCCACCCACGGGGGCAGCGTGATGCCCGCAGCCGCTCCTCCCCCGGCTGGTGACCAGCAGGCCGGCTTCGCCATACCCGTGAGCCTGGACCAGCACGTGGTATTGGTTCCCAGCAAACTCAGGCTCGTCTCCCTGGCAGCCTTCATCTTGCAGAAATGCCAGGTAGGCCAGGCTCAGCCCATGCAGCCCCAGCCAGCAGCCTGCTTTTGGGTTGGGCACCAGGGCCGTGAGTGGAGGTGCGCGGCAGTGTTGCGCCCCCACTGTGTGACGAGCCCATGACGGTGTCGTTCCGGCCAGTGCTTCTGGCGTGGTGTGGCGTGGCGTGGCGAGGCGAGGCGAGGCGAGGCGAGGCGAGGCGAGGCAGCGTGCTGGCACCACGTGGGGGGCAGAAGCCAGGCAGACCAGCCTGGTGCGTGTTCTTAAAGGAGCTGGCGCTCACGTGTATGTTTACTGGAGCCACGTGGTGCTGCCTCTGGCCGTGGGGCAGTAGGCGGAAGGGCCTCTGTGCAGCCGCACGACTTGCCACCCCTCGGCTGCCACCGTTCGGCCAGGGGCCGCGGGACCCGCCCCCTCAGGTGCCTTTCTTTTCTCGGGAAACTTTCAAGGTGAGAGCGCTGCACTTTCCTTTCCCTGCTTTTTGTAGTGTAGAGTTGCAGTTTTATTTTTAAAAATAACTCGGGCCATCTGCTACTGTGTTTCCAGTTGGTGCAGCGTGACGGTGTGCTGAGGCGCGTTTGGCGCCACGGGGCTCACTGTTCCCCTTTGTGTCCGCAGTTTGAGCAGGATCAGAAGATGATCGTCTTCCTCTCAAGTTGTGAACTGGTGGAGTTCCACTACACCCTCTTCGTGCAGACCCTGCCGGGCCTCTTGGGGGCCCTGGACTCGGGGCCGTCGCCATCTGCCGCCGCGAAATTGCAGTTCTACCGGCTGCACGGGGCGCTGGAGCAGGAGGTGAGCGCCCCCCTCCCCCCGCAGGCGGCGCTGCCCAGCCCGGGGTTGCGCTGGTCCTCACCTGCGGCGCCGGCCGCCCTCACCCACCCCACTGGGCGAGGGCACAAGAGCCCGGAGGGGCGGCCTGCTGCCACACCGCTGTGGCAAGGTGGGCAGGGGAAGGCCATTGTCCCCAGCGCTGAGCCCCGGGAGCCGGTCTCTTCCACCTGAGAGAGCGCGCAGGCTGGCTTGGCCTGACTCTACCTCAGCCAGCTGTTAAGGCAACAGAGTACCACTAAGTAGCTGGCACCGGGGAAGGGTTTTGCCTTTTTAGTACCCAGTGTGTAATTAGGGCTTGATGTCTTCAAATTAAGAGCATTAATGGAGCTAAATTGTGGATCCCATATGGTACTGCTGAGCGTGACTGCTGTCCTTGTCAACAAGATGCAGCGCTCGCTCGCTTAGCATTTTGGTTGGGAGCGGGCACCATGTATCCAAGGGGCTCCGGGGCCTTGGTGTGTCTCAACTGAGTAATATTTTTGTTCAGGAAGAAGAGAAGAGCATTTCCCCTCTGTTAGCTGCTGAGCTGCTACCCTCTCGTTTCACCACTGGAAACTAGGCCATCCGCTCGGGCATGGGGCGGAGTGGGGCGTGCGAACAGCTCTCTGGGTGGCGGAAGGAAGGACACGCAGGGCTGGGAAGCGGAGCCATCTTGTCCTAGAAGAGAGGTCGCCAGGCAGCCTGGAGAACTAGGAGGCGTGAACGGAGTCAGAAAGCAGAGAGACGCTTACCTGGAGCCAGCATTCAAAAGTCTAACATTTTTAGAGCTAAAGAAACATTAAAGATCATTCAGGTTAGCCTCTAGAAGCGTGAGCGCTCCCAAGGTCACTCAAGGACACAGCTTCCTCTTGCCACCCTGTCTAGAGTTTCCCCAGTTCCTGGCTTTGTGGGTTGGCTAAATGCTTGTTTTGGGCCTTCAGGGCCTGGATGCAGGGCTGTTCATGGTGCTGGACTTGTTGTCTGGGCTCCCTAAATCTCTGGGCTGCTTCACCAGGGCTCTCTGCAGCATTGGCCTGAGGACGTAGGTCCCCTGGGTGTGGACGCTGGCTGTGGACTGGAAGGATCTTGCAGTTTGAATAATCCTGCACAAGCTTCTACGGTTATTGCCCACTGTTCTCTCGAGCTATAATAGGGTGACCTTCTAGCAGCCACGGGGCCTGGGGAGACTGCTTGGGGGCTGGTCCCCGGCTGCCCCCCGTGTGAATGGCAGTAGAGACGTGGCTGCGTGCACGTTCAGCAACAAGAGAAAGCCAACCAGGGAACGAGAAATGTGCACGAGAGGAAAGAGAAGGGTCTCTCTTCCCGCTTTGTGCTTCACTTCTCTGAGCCTCAGTTTCCTCGCTTCTCAAACGGGGCTGAGAGTGTTTCCTTGGGGTGCCGTGACAGTGAGCTAACGCAGGTAGGGTGCCAAGGCCAGGCCCGCAGCAGGACACCCTGGGAAGGCTGGGCTAGTCCGGCTCCCCACAGTTCAGCCACCGCTTCTCTGCGGGTTAGGGCTGGGCCCTCACCGTCTCCACGTAGGCGAGGGCCAGGTGGGAGGACTGGCCCTGCACTTCCCCTTGTGACAGTGAGTTCTGGGGCCTTGGCCCGACTCGGCTAAATCAGTCCCTCCTGGCTGGTCATCCAGGCCCACTGCGGCCTCCTGACTGGCTGACCCGAGTGTCGCCATGTTCGTGAGCCACGGAGCCAGTTGCTCCTCAAGATGCTGCACCCGCCCACATGGCACGTCCTGAGTGGGGTCTCATGCCGAGGCTCACCATGTTACGTCCAGTCTTTCAGCTGTCTCACTGGCTTTCGTGAACGTCTGAGTGTTTCTGATTTTGAGCGACAGCACAACCTTGAGAAGTCAACCTGGAAAGGACCTCGCAGCCACGGGTCCTTTCCCCAGACTCAGTGTGCCTGGACCTTGGGCCTGTCCCCCCAGCGGCCTGACCCTGGGCCTGGGCCTCTCCCTCTGCTCCAGAGGCGCCGACAGCACCGGTCTGGCCAGCGTTGGGAGGACAGGCTCAGACGGGAGCGGGCAGCGGGGTCTGGGAGTCGCCTCAGGCCCCGCGCTGTGTGAGTTGTCGTCCCACTGGGGCTGCAGAGCCCAGACGGCGACCCAGTGGCCATGCCAGGGCGGAAAGAGAGATCCTTCTCTTCTCTTCTCTTCTCTCGTGCACATTTCTCGTTCCCTGGTTGGCTTTCTCTTGTTGCTGAACGTGCACGCAGCCACGTCTCAACTGCTGGTACTGCAGGGCTTCAGCACCCTCTGGAGTGTGCCCCGGGCACGCTCCTGCCAAGACCTCACAGGCCCGCCTGTCTGCCTTGGCACTTTACCCCAAGGGGGCGGTGAGGTGTGCTGCCAGCCAGGACGTCCGTCTCGGGGGGCTGGACCCGCCCGGCAACGAGCGCCCCTCCCCTGAGGGTGGCCCAGTGTCCGGGAGCCGACGTGCCTGGGGTGTGGGTGTGAAAGACGCGCACGTCCGGCCCAGGTCTCGTAAGAGCTGTTCCGGCGCTGACCGGCCACGCGGAGAGCCTCGCTCTTGGTGGTGCCTCGCGGGGCTCTGCAGCCTGCTGCTGCCGGTGCTGCTTTGCCTTCGTCGTGCTCTCACGGCCCCTTTGACTTGGTTTTCTCCACATCAAATAAATGGCTTTCATACTTTTTTGCTCTTTTTAATTTTTCTTTTATAAATATATATTTTTTTGCGTAGGACTGGGGTACAGGCCAGAGATGGGGGGGGGGGGTGAGAGGATTCGCCAGAGACAGTAGGGAGCAGATCAGGCGAATTTTACTGACACGCACTGCTGAGGGGACAGCGTGGAAACGGGTCTGCTGCGCCCTGCGGGTCCCGCCCTGGCCCGGGGCCACACTCAGGCTGTAGCAGTCACAGTGCTGAGACTAACCCCCACGCCACCAAGGAGCCCTTTAAAAATTCATCTTTAAAAAAGTGGCTCTGTAGGGAAAGTGGGTGGTACTTCTTCTGGAATCTACTGGAAGGAAGCTGCCTAGATCCGAGTTGGGCGGCTCGCCTGCTCGTGATGTGGGCTGTTCCCGAACGGCGTGCCTCACGGCTCGACATCAGCGAGCCTCGAGCCTCGCCCCCACCCTTGGCCAGAGCCCGTGAGGCCTGCTGCATCGACGGAGGTCTTCGTGGACCCGGGGCGTCCACTGCCCCCCGGCCTGCAGAACCGAAGCGGGCAGCCGTCGGGGGGTGCCGGGGGGGCTGTGCCTGCCACGCCGGCCTCCCTCAGGTTGTGAGGCGCTCCCTTCCTCTGTGTTGCAGGAAAGAACAGCCGTGTTCCAAGGGTTCTCGAGCGCCAAGGCGGGCGTCCTCCTCTGCACGGTGCGTATCCCTGTTGTCCACGTGCGGGGGGGCTGTGATGCTGGCTGCTGAGGGTACCCCGCACCCACCCCACAGACAGCGGCCTCCTGGTGGCTGGTCTCTTATGCTGCCAGTCGTCCCCTGCCTGCCACAGTCGCTGCCACCCTGCACAGGACTTGGCGATTTGCTCACTAATAGTGGCAGCTGTTGGCTTGAGAATGTGTGAATCTCGGCGATTTCTATTCACCAAGAACTTGTAAATTAACAGCTATCGGGAGTAATTAGAGCTGAGAAAGTCTGCCCACAACGGGCTGCTCTGCCTGCCTCTCCTTAAAGGAAAACAGATGCATTTGCATGGGCCTTACTTGCTGTTGTCTAAAACTATCATTTGGCCGCAATTTTCAGGGCCAGCTCATCCGTCCTGGGTCCGCAGGCGGGGCTGGCCCGCCAGCGCAGCACTGACCTTTTTAATGCGCGCCTCTGGTGCTCCTTCGAGATTGAAACACACCTTGCCTGTGCCGCTTCTCTGGGGATTCACTCCCCCTTTGCTCCTGCTCGCTCCCAAGATGAAAATGCCATCTCTGTTTGTGCCGTCTTGGATGATGTGACAGTCTCCAGCTGGCTGTTTGAGGAGCCCCGACGCAGTCTATGCCGTAGTGAAATGTGAAATCGCACGAAAAGTAGAGAATCAGCGGATGGCACTGGGTGGGAACAGACTCTGGGCTTTGGTGGCCTGTGTGGGTCTCACTTAATGCAGCTCCTTTTTCAGGCCCTCCTGCTCTGTATTGCATTTTAAGGGCAGTAGAGATTGCGCTCTCTGAGTCTAGAGTGCGTGAGTGAGCGTGGCTTTGTTCTGCTGTGTGAATGTGCGTGCTCACAGACAAGTCAGCCTGCGGGCGGCTCACCTCCCAGGGAGCTCTGAGTCTCGCCGTCCATCCAGGCGCAAGGCGGATGCTCGAGTCTGCTCTAGAAACATCTTTTGCTTTTTAAAAAAAGGTGTATTTATTTGTGCACACAGAACTGGTGTACAGGCCAGCAGTGCAGGGGGGTGAGAGGATTCACCAGACAGAGCGGGAGCGGAACAGGCTGACTGACAAGCACACTGCTAAGGGGAGCAGCGGGAGGTCAGGAGGGTCTGCCGCGCCCTGGGAGTCACTCCCTGGCCGGGGATCGAATTCATACATGGCTGTAGCTTCATGGTCCTGTGCTCCGACCCGCTGCGCCACCAAGGAGGTCCTGCTCTAGAAACATCTTTAAGTGCCAGATCTGAAGCAAAGAGGAGTTTGGCTAATCTGCGCATTGAATTTTGCCAGGGACCCTCGCTGTTTGCAGGCAGCCCTTCCGGGGCCTGCCCCTTCTTGTCCTCTCTGCCCCTGCGGCCCCGTGCTCCAGCCCTTCAGCCCCTGAATGTGGTGACCTTGCCTTTTCGGAGCTGGGCCCTGGTCCACGCGGCCCCTCCGCCCGGCACACCTAACTCACTCTCCCTGCTTAGTCTCAGCTTCGGTTTCATTTTTTCAGGGAGCAGGTCCCTGGGCTCTCCCAATGGAAGAGGGCCTGCCCCAGGTCTGGGTGTCTGCCCGCAAGTCGCAAGCTTGTTGTTGTTCCACTCAGGGTTGGCACCGAGCGGGCGCTCAGTGGGCCTCGGTGTTTGTGGCCCCACTGGGTGGATGAGGCCCAGGAAGCCGGCGCCGAGCACCACAGCGCGCAGCTCTGTGAAGACAAAGCTGCCCGCTCGCTGCAGCCGAGCCCTCTGCCCGTGTCGCTCCCAAGGAGCGGTTCTCGGCGCCTGGCCGCGTCGGAGCAGTGCGACCTGCGAGTCGGGGCAGGGCTGGGCTCAGGGCGAGGTGTCTCTCTCACCCTGCAGACTGGCGCTGTCCTGGCCTCGTCTCCTGGCTGACAATGCACTTTGCAGGCTTGGGCGAGCATGAAGCTTCAGAAAACTCCAGGAATGGAGAAAAAGTCAGCATTTTGACTTGCTTAGTTTGGGGTTTGGATTTTTAGTAGCTTGACATGGAAGGAAAAAAATCATTCTTTCTGAAATGTAATTGTCGGTGGGGTCCGGACCATGTGACGGCTGGTTCTGTCGCTGCTGCCTGCAGGCCCGTGACAGCTAGACAAGGAGCCCTTGGCGGACAGAGCCCGGGGCGGGCGGGGGTGGGGGTGCAGCCACCCTTGGCCCTCTCTGGGTGGGCATGTGGCTCTTCCAGGACCCCAGTCCTTTGCCAGCTCCCTCTTTTCATCTGTAGTCAGCTACTGGGGAGAACTGGGGGCACACTGTCCCCCCACTTCCACGAGCCAAGCACGGGTTTCTTCTCCCTCCCAGCGGCCCTTCCACTTCCGCCATGTTCGCTTGCTTCAGCCTGTGGCTCCTGGTGTCCGAGGGCCGTCAGCGGGGTGGGGCGGGGGCGGGCTGCCACCTCCCAGCAGCCTGTTGCTCGCCAGGCCTTCTGAGCCGCAGGAGCCTCCTTGGTGTTAATGAGGAACGAGGGCCACGTCAGGACAAGGCAGATGGAGAACCTGCTTCTTTTGATAAAGAGGAATCATGTTGTTAATTGTCGCGGGGCCTCTGTTCCTTTTGCTGCGTCTCGGAGGCCCTGTGAGCGCCCGCAGGCCGTGGGGGTGGCTCCGCCCAAGGCTCCCCTTCTCGCTCCTTCCCTGCTGGAGGGCCGGTCCCGCCTCTCTCCTCCGCTAGCTAGCGTCTGTGGGAAGGAGCACCTAACCGAGCACCTTTTCGTCACCGCTGCGAACATCCTGGCAGCAAGGGCCGAGGAAGGATGCGGGGTGGTCTCGGCATGGCCCGTGGGGGTCTCCCGGGGCTGAGGCGGGGCTGCAGGCGGCCAGTTGCAGGGGAGACCGCTTTGTTTGGGAGATGTCTTTACACATTTGTGATGGGCTTTTGTGTCCTTGAGAAAACCAGAGCTCAGAAGCCAGGCGAGTGGGGAGCAGGGGTGAGTGGGAAGGAGTCACTTAAGGTGCAGAGCCTGCTCCCCAGCGGAGTTCAGAAATTAGAGGCGTCAGAGACAAGGTGTCAGACTCGCCACAAATATGTCCTGCTGGTGGTGGAGACTCGTCTGGGGGCTGGGGGCACTGTGGCTTCTGCCGCCCTCGCTTCACGGCTGCCGAGACTGCCCGGTGCCCGGCTGTATTTGAGGCTCCCCGTTTCGAAGGCGGACCCGGCTTTCTCTTGGTACGCAAGGTGCTCTCTGGTTGTCTGGGTCAGTGGGGGCAGTGGCCTTCCCGCCCCGTGGGGTCTGCTGGCTGCTGGCCCCAGCTGGTTGTCCAGCGCGTGCTGCCTCGTTCAGGCCAGCCCTGGTCGCCGGTGCCCCCTCCACCAACCCCACTGGGTTCCGCTGCACTCGGGGCGCTGCCACGTCCGTGCCGCCCTCCGTCTCCTCCCCGGGAGTTTTCCACGGTGCCGGGGCAGGAGACGGGCGAGAGGCCCGAGGGTGGGAGCTGGCTCCCCGGCCCCCAGGAGGGCGGGCGCCTGCTCTTCCCGGCTGTGCTTGGTCCGGTTCTCGCCCACTTGATTCCAGCCGCGTCGGTGGCGAGGCATTTGGAGACGCTGGCTGCTTACTCGGTTACACTAACTCACGTTGCCAGGTCTTTGGCGGCTCTAGCCAAGATCTCTCGCCTCTGACAGCTTCTGCACTCTCCCCTTCCTCCTCTGATTACGCAGCCCAATCTGTCACCCGGACAACAGGGGCCTGTACCCCGCTGATGGCTTTCCACACCCGGCAATAATGACTTTTGGCAGGCCGAGAAGCGGCAGAGGCGGGTTTGCTGTGTCCCTTGCTCTGAGAGCCTGCAGGCTCCCTCTCCCTGGTAGTAAAAGCACTTTGTGAGGTTCTTGGGTAAATAAATGAGTCATTTTAATCCAACTGACAGGCTGGCACCTGAGCAAGCTGCCTTCCATCTGCACTCCTCGCTCTCACGGAGGCAACGAGCCTCAGGCCCCGGCTCCACGGCCTCAGCGCTGAGTGTCTTTCAGACCTGACTTTAGCCATTCTTTTGCCCTAATGAGGTTAAAGGAATACGGTCGGGCTGGCCTGACACCCTGGAGCGGGCAGAGGACCTAGCTGGGGGCAGGCCACGGTGCCCGGCAGTCTGGCGCCCCGGTGTTCTGGGAAGGCGGAGCAGGCGCCTGCTCCTCTGTGTCCTCTGTTTGGGGGGGGGGGGTGCCCCACGTCACTGCTTAAGCAAACTCCCCTAACATGTGCCACATAGGGTGATCAACACCCCCTCCAGGGTACACGCTCAGCTAGTTCATAGGTGGGTAAACTGAGGCGCAGAGAGCTGCATTGACCTGCGATGGATGTGTGGCCTCAGAAGTGGCCCTGAAGCCCAGGGTCTCTGTTCCCGGGTCTGGAAGGTGGTTGCCTCTCTCCTGTTCCCTGAGGTAGCGCTGACGGCTTGTGGCGAGAAGCCCTTACAGAAATGGCTTGGTGGTGGCTGCCGGGGCTCTCCCGCCCCGAGGTGAGTAGAGGGGGTGGGGAGCTCGTGCCCAGCCTCTTGTCCTAGGCAAGGTCACCCGGGGAGGCTGGGCCCTCGGCTGTCCCCACACCAGGGACGAGTTCTCGCCGCGGCCGCGCGCTCGCGCTCCGCGGGTCTTGTGCACGCATGTGCCAGTTTAGGGTTTTATCTTTGTTGCTTGGCTGAATTTACTAAACTGACGAGCATTAAATTTTTTACAAAGCCTGTCTGTAAAGCTCAGGCAGCCCATTGTCTACATGCGCCCCGCTGCAGAGCACTTACATAAAATAAGTCACGTCTTCACAGGAGCTTAGCAGATTTAAGAGCCCGTCAGTTTGTCTCAAGGCATCAGCAGTGGTTCGTGCGGAGAACACTGTGAATTGTGTTCTCAGAGGTAGCAGCTCTGGAACGTCAGCCTGCCGCTCTCAGGGCACGGGGGAGTGTCTGAGCACTTCGTGGGTGGTTGCCGTGCGTACCACCTTCAACTTCCACGCGGCACTTGACGCGTGCAACCCAGCGATGGTTCAGGGAGGCCTGAACCATGCGATGGTTCAGGGAGGCCGGCCAGCCCGGGGGCAGGCAGACCCTGGCTCCGGGGCCTGGTGAGGCGGGGTGGCGGCCACTGCCCCCAGTCCTGCCCAGGCCCTGGGCGGTAGAGGAAGCCAGCGGGTTGTGGTGCCTCATGTGGAACCTATGCAGAGGGCTAGTATTTTCTTTTTAAAGCCTGGTTCATATAATTTCAGGCTCTGGATTGTTTTTCAAGACACCTGGACTCTCAAAATGGGTAGTTGTGAGAGCACTGAGTAAATCAGGGGCCTGTCTATTTGTTCCAGACCGTGGAAGTCTAGAAAGATCGCTTACAGATGGAGGGTGTGCTCTCTGCTTCCATTCTGGGTCCGGAGAGGACCGTGACCAGCAGGCCAGCCGTGAACCTGTAAACTGGTTATTTGGGAACAGGGCGTTCCAGAGCTGAAGTTCTCAGGTGTGACTATGTACAGGAACTTCCATTCACTTAGGAAGTACGTGCTGAAGAGCATTTCAGGGCAACTGTGACATTTGCAACTTAGATGGTTTGGGAAGCATCTGTGTGTTCAAGAAAGCACGTGTGGGTTGTGTGGATTGTGGGTCTGGTGTCTGGGCTGCCACACTCGTCCTCAGTGTTTTGTGGGTTTACATTTAGAAAGTGAAAGATTGGATCAGAAATGATGTGCATTCGTTGCTAGAAGAAAGACGAAGTAAAGGCCCCGGGGCCGAGCAGTGAGGCCTGTGGGCGCTCCCCCAGGGAGCCGCCTGGCTGCACGGCACGTGCTGTCTCGTCCACTCGGCGCCTGCTTGAAGTCGTTGGCTTGCGTCACCCTCTTGTTTCCTGGGTGGGGTGAGGGGTCCTTTCCCCTGCAGCACACCCCCCATTCTGGGTCTGGCCAGTTGTCCACCAGCAGCTGGGTGGAGACTGGTCGGACTCGGGCTCTTGAGCTGTGCCTACTTTATTTTCGCCAGTGGAGCTGAGGGGTGAGTCAGCCTCCTGCCGCAGGACAGCTGGCTTTCTGTCCCAGTGGATCAGTCAGCGTGTGTAGGTCAGCAAAGGAGGTCCAGCTTCTGTCCTGGGCCCCTTCGTGTTTTCCTTCCCCTTTTGTAAGCTTTTGGGGTTTTCTTTTTTCGTTTTTTTTTTTTCAAATAGGAGGTTATTGTAACCCTCTCATTTTGCACAGAGGTATAGCTTGCGCTCGGAATACTCCCCAAGGGCCTCGGTGCCCGTCCACGCCCCCCATGCTGCCCATGGGCCTGGGGCGACCGTGGCCCAGCCACCTCCCTCCGGACGCAGCTCCTTGCTGGAGGGACCGCCTTATGCGCCTGCCGCCCTGTGTGTTCGTGGTGCTTCTGGAGGCGCCGCTGTGTCAAAGGGCGAGTCCTGTGATGGTACTGGCTATTGGCCTGTTGCCTGCCGTGGGGACTGTGCCCTGCTTCGCATTCCCACCAGCAGCACATTAGAGACACGGCCTTTTTGATGGCGGAACACAAAGTGATCTAGTAAGGAAAAGGAAGGCGGGCCTGGACTTCAGGGCCTCTCCTCGGCTCTATGCCCTGGCCAGCTTGCTTATCTCTCTGAACCTCGATTTTCTCTCTGTCAGATGGAAATAGTGCTGGTGTTGGGCTCCCGGGGGATGAGTCGAGACAGCAGAGGTGAGGGCCCTGAGCAGTGGGTGTCTGGTGCATGGGAGTGCCAGGGCGTTCCTGGGCTGCGGGTCGCCCTCGGGGCTGAGGGCACGTGGGAGTTCACTGCCAAGGCCTGGTAGAGCCCCACTCGCTAGTCCGCCTGCCAGGAGACCAGAGCCCGGGGAGGGGAGTCCTGGCCGTTTGGCTGACAAAGCGCCAGTGCTCCTACACTTGGTGTCCGCCGGGTCACGGCGTGGTGTAGCACTGCGAGTGTAGCACTCGAAGGTGGCGGCCCTCGCTGTGCCTCGGTGCTCTCTGGGGTGCTGAGCACAGTCCCCCAGGGGGACACCTGGGTGCCCTCCAGAAGCGCGGTGGATAACCCCAGAGGCTCTGCATCGTGGCAGCTTCCACATAAACGTGACAGCGGGGCGGGCTGCACCTCTGGGCTGCGCCGTGTCTCTGGGAAGCAGGTCATGCCCAGCTCCCCAGGCCTCGGAGGCCCCCGATCTTGGAAGAGGTGAAGCCGCAGATGGCCTCTCGGCGCCTGCGTGGTGAGGGCGTGTGGCCTCCTGGGTGCTTAGACTGTCAGACAGCTCCTGACTTCCATGACCAAAGGTTTAGAAACTCAGTGTTAAGCCATGTTCTTTTCTCTTTTGAAGGATGTTGCAGCTCGGGGCTTAGATCTCCCTCAAGTCACATGGATTGTTCAGGTAATTTTTGACTTGTTCAAGTGTGAGCTTGATGCAGGAATACACGGTCTCGAGGGGTGCATTGCTTTTAAGTAGAATAATTACTGCTGCCCGCTCGGGTGTTGCCCTGGTAACCGGGCAGCAAGCACCCTTCCCTGCATGTTCTCTCCCTCGCCCGGCCCAGCTCTGTCGCCGCCAGACAGCCGCCTGCGCACTCGCGGGAGCGGCCTGCGGCAGGCTGACCCGTGTCACGCGCAGTCTCAGCAGCCTGAACCTGGAGGGGTCGCCCGGGGCCTCACGGTGTCCAGGAGGAGACCCCTCACTGTCCTGAGAGCTGTGTCCTGTGCAGGGCAGTGAAGGCCTTGACAGCAGCTTACACGCAGCCCTGCACACGTGGCCGGGGGCTACAGGTGTTAGCACTAGAGTCTGGCGGTTTTCGTTTTGCTTTATCTTTTCGTTAGCCTGCAGAATGGTGCTTTTCAGGCCCTGCTGCGGGGGTGCGTACGTTTCCGTGAGCTCTTCTCATGGACTGCATGCCTGTGGCTGGCTGGGGAACCTGCTGTGCTCACTGCAGGTCTCCTCGCACCTGGCGCACGATTTGTCTTCTCTGCTGGCCCCTGGGCACGGCGAAGATAGGGAGGCCGCAGGGCCTTAATGTGCGAGAGGCCGGACACGTAGTTACCATTCGGCGCCTGCTTGTGATTGGCACGACAGGCCTGGCCTCCCGTAGGCCGTAGACATCGAGGCCCTCGGGTCTCTGCTCCGCGCGGCCGCAGAGGAACAGTGGAGGAAAAGAGCCTGTGTGGTCACCCACCCCACCACAGCGTAGTCTGCCTTCGCCCACGGCAGGCCCCGACGCACGGGAACCTGCCTCTCCCCGCTGGCCAGGCCCGGCCCGGCCGCCCGCTCTGTGGGCCTGGGCGGGGTGCAGCAGGGCGGCCAGCCCCGCGGCTCATGTGCCACACCACCTCTGCCTGTCCGCCGCCCATCCCGCTGCTCTGCCTGCGGGCAAGTAGGCCAAGGTCGTGTGGTCAGCCTGCAGAACTGCGCCCCCCTGCCTGTGTGCTCACCTTGCTCAGTCACCACAGTGAAAAGATGCAAATGGGAACGTGAAGAGACCTGTGGAGAAGTAAAATTAAAAGGGCAACATTGGGACGAGGAGACATCTCGTTTCCCCGAAACTTGGCCGCGACTCACGCTGGCGTGTCAGAGCCTTGTTACTTCCGATGAGGCCAGGAGTTTGAGGCTGAGTGACTTCTCCTTGTGATTGCGTGAGCGTAACCATAGCACCAGGATTTAATTCTTGGGATACCTGGAGGCAGGTGAGGGGTATTGCACTTCCAATTAATGGCAATCCCTTGATCTGTGAACACCTTCATTTTCCTGCCCTCTTTAGTACAACGCTCCGTCTTCACCTGCCGAATACATCCACCGGATTGGGAGAACCGCCCGGATTGGCTGCCAGGGGAGCAGCCTGCTCATTTTGGCTCCTTCGGAGGCAGAATATGTCAACTCGTTGGCTTCTCACAAAATCAAGTGAGTCAGAAACCTGAACGGCTTTCCGCTGATCTCACCTAATTAACTTTCTGTCGCCTTTTACAGGGACGGGCCTTGTAAGCTGACGAAGAGCCATTAACCCTTGTGATCCCTAAATGAGTCCCAGAGTAGCCGGTGGCAAAAACTAACACCCTTAATGCCATCAGCGCGTGACAGTTGTCACCAGGCAGCAGACGGAGTGTGGCGAGGCGGTCGCACCTGTCTGGGGTCGCGGGCGGCGCTCGCTCTGCCCCCAGCGCGTGCGCGGCCCCCTTGGCCGCAGCGGAAAGCCCTTTCCTGTTCAGACTGACAGCTCACCACCTGCCTCCTGCCCCCGGGGCAGGGAGCCCACACAGTACTGGTGCCTGGCAGCGGTGGCTTCCGCCCCGCTGAGCCCCCACGCCGCCCAGGGCACAGCCGCACACACGGAGCCAGGGCGCCCCAGCCTCGGTCTTAGGGAGAAACACAGAGCAAGCCCAGAGAGCGCGGCCCGGCTGGGCCAGGAGCCAGGCTCCAGAGGCCGGGCAAACTCCCTGGGCCCCAGGAATGAATTTCTCTTCTCGTCTTTTCCACAAACTCCAGCACCTGAAATAAGCGGCTCACATGGCTGGGGGGGGGGGGGGGGCTCACGCTGACCTCGGGCTTGTGCAGACACCCTCGGCTCAGCAGCAGGAGGCTGGAGGCCGCACGTCAGCCCATAGCGCGGGGCGCCCCACAGGCGAGCAGGGGCCACGGCCCACCTGGGCCCGAGGCCACGCGTCCTCTGCTTGGCTCTTGTCTTTTATGTGCTGTGTCCATGAACCCACAAGATTCGACCCGCTCAAGTCCAGCACTGGGCAGGCGTGTGTTCAGGCCAGCACTGAGTCATCCGGGGCCGTGCGCGGACCTGGCCGGGGCCTGGGGCCAAGCAAAGGCAGCCACTTAGAGAGCGGGACACGCGTCCACCCGGCTGCCCTGCATGCTCCCCTGCAGCGCTCCCCTCCCCTGTGCCAGACTTTGGGGCGCCCCCCCAGGTTGCTCCAGTGGGCCGGAAAGGGCCCTGCCTCTGCGGGCGGGCGGGCCTGCTCTCTGGTTTCGAGTGTTGCCTGGGCTTTTACTTCACGTGTCTCGCCTGAACCCTGTTGTTGGGGCGCGCAGGCAGATGGCGTGTTTGGGCGTGCGAGGAGCTGGCAGGTCAGTCACTAGTCCCTGAGGGCTTCATCGCTGCTGGACCCCAGGTCCCTGGCTGGCACTTGCGTTTGTGGGTGTGTGGCCCTCCGTGCCCCAGATGTGGGGTGGGGGTGCAGATGCCCCGAGACACTGGCGCCCCTGTGCAGCGGCTCTTGTGCGTCCCTGGGGCTCGTGCCCCCGTGGGAAGTGTCTTCAGTGATGTTGCCGTCACGGCGCCCCCCTGCCGGCAGCTCCCTCACGGGGTGTCCCCTCTCCGGGCGCCGCGTGACGCAGCCTCCGCTCAGAGGCTTCTCGCTTGTAGGCGAGGGGCCGGCGGCGGGTGCGGGGCACCGAGTCGGCGCTGGCCGCGCTGCGAAAGGGCCAGACGGCTCTCGGCTCTCGAGGCTCGGCCTGATGCTGCTTGGGGACACCGCTCCCGGAGGCGGGGCTGGGCTGGGCGGGTGAGGGGCTCACAGCTGAAGAATGTTCCTCCAGAGGGCTGGAGCCACGGCGGCCAGCGACCGCCCGCCCCTGCTGGTTTCTGCCCCAAAAGCAGCTTCGTGCGCTGCACCAGGCGGCGCCCCGCGGGCTGACAGAGCAGACTAAGGGCCTGGAGCCCTGCAGGGTTCTTCCGTCAAGGCGCAGGTGCTGGATAGCTACGGACGGCCAGTCTCTCCGACTTCAGACCGAAAAGTCAGTCCAGTAAGAGCGAGCTGCAGAGCGAGTGGTGAGGAAGCAGACCTGGGCGCTCTTGAGCTCAGGAGGTGCACTCCCAGCCTCAGACGTGGAGGGAGGCGCAGCGAGGGCGTTTCCTGCCTGAGACTCCGCGGGGAGGGCCAGCCTGCGGGAGCTGTGGGCGCAGGGCACAGGGCAGGCTGCAGCTCGGCCCCGGGGTGCGTCCCCACAGGTTGCCGCCCGCCCCGCCTTCCGCCAGACAGCACCCTGCAGTGGCATTAGCGGACAGGGCGGGAGCCACGCCTGGGCCCCCGTTTCTCCATCCCCTGACTTTGCTGTACTTGCCAGCGTCCTCACTGTTCTCTGCTTCTCCTTTCAAAGTCAGGAAAGCCATCACTGGTTTGATAAAATGGAAATGCTTCTTCAAACTTGCTACTCCTTAGAACAGGCCGAAGGCAGCGCCTGAGTGTGTTTGCTCGCCTTTCCCTTTCACAGAGGCGGGTGCTCCGGTCTGTGGCCAGAACATATACAGAGAGTGGGTGTGCCTGTCGTCCGAAGCCAAGATTGATTTCTTAGTCTGGCTAAGGCCCCTTCAAACGGTGACTCGCTCCAGCCCCCCTCGGGCCCCGGGCGGCGTAGGCAGCCCCAGCAACCTCGGCTGGCCTGGCTCTGCCTTCTTTGGCCTGCTCATCCCCGCGCCTGACAGGGAAAGGCTTTTTGTTGTTTTTCTCCCTGCTTTTAAGATTTGACCCCAAGTTCTTATGTTTCTTTTATTTTTGTATTTTTCTTTTTTGTCTTCTAGAAGAAAAGGGATGAATGGCGGCAGGTCAGCTAGACAAAAGAAAGGATAGGGCTTCATCTTCCTTCAGATTTCCAGGCGCAACAAGAGGCAATTCAACTGCTTGCGCTTCTGTCTCTTATGAAAAATAGATTGTTCCGTGAGCTCGCTGGCACCCCTCACCCGCCCTGCCGCCTCCCGCAGCACGCTGGCTTCTCCGGCGGGCTCACTGCTGTGAAAGGACCCGTGCATCCCCGGGGCTGTGCGCGGCAGCCGAGGGGGGCTGGGGGCTGGGGTGTCGGGAAGCAGTGACAGGTTTCAGGTGAATCGCTGTCGGAGATGTGACGATTTCATTCATAGCTTTGTCAGAGTAACCTTCGGGGAGGGAGACTTGTCTCCTACGTAAGAGGCTGCCATTCATGTTTTAATTTGCTGTTACATTAGGGAGGAAAACAACATACAGGAAAGTCATTTATCTCTGCCTGATCTGTTCTTCTCCCCCAGAAAAGCCCCTTCCTTTTCTCCCCGGGAATCTGTCTTCAGCCAGCAGTTTTCCCCCCTCATCCTGGCCACGTGGGTCTGGGGTCCGCTGTGGCCTCGGGAGGCGGCAGGTGAGGGCCTGGCTTTCCCGGGCCCGCTGCTGACTGGGCCGCCGGGTTCTGCTTGGCCCGCGGTGGCTCCTGTGTGGGAGTGAATCCAGTCGAGGTTACCCATTTGCACGTAGCTCTGAGTCACCAGAGGGTGATGGTCCTCGTCCCCCAGTAGTTGTGAGTGAGAGTGGTGAGGGCCCTTTGGGTAGAGCAGAGGGTGCAGGTGTTTGGGTGGCTGCTGGGTACTCGGTAAGTTCCACTGAGGTGTTTGCCTCAACAGTAGAGGCCCTCCCTGGTGGCGCGGCAGGTCAAGACGCAGCACTGCAAGCTGGCCGCAGCCGCTTCAGTGCGAATTCCATCCCCGCCAGGGGGTGACCCACAGGGTGCAGCAGACCTCTCCTGTCTCACTGCTGCTCCCTCAGCGGTGGATTTTTGTCCATCTGCCTGTCCTGCTCCCTGCTCTGTCTCTCTGGTGAAGCCTGTCATCACCCCTGCACCTCTGGCCTGTACCCCAGCTCTGTGTGCATAAATAAATCCGTATAGATAGGTAGATATCAGTATAGTTAGATGGATGTATGATGTCTTCCTGAAAAAGCCACCCCCCCCCCTTTATGGTTTTAATATCAAGCCAAAGGGACAGTGTGGCTGTTTGTGGCTTCGTGATCTGGTCATCAGGGTGGTAGATGGATGCACGGGCCCGGGGTGAGAAAGTGTCAGGGCCCTGCAGAGGGTTCTGTGGGAGCCCGCTGTGACTTCATCCGGGAGGAAGCACATGGCTGGGAGTGTCACCGCTCTGGCTCGCAGTAGCCTCATGAGCCCTTTCTTCGAATTCTCGGGGATCAGGACTGTTCGCTTTCCAGGACGGCGAAGCTTCTGCCCCTCTTACCAGCTTGAGACAGCCACTTTGTGCTGCAAGATCCCGGATGTTTACGGAAGAACGTGAGGTTCACTGTGCCTTGTCCTTCCTTCACAGCATGACTGAGATTAAGATGGAGGCGATTTTGTCTGTTCTGACACGGGATGACTGCTTTAAAGGGAGACGGCGGGGAGGCCAGGTGAGTGTGTGTTGTGTTTGCTGCTCACTGACGTGGCCCTCTCCCACGAGGCTTGCCACAGATCATTTTCTCCCCCGAGCAACACATGCAGCGGCGAGCACGTGAGTGTGTCCCTGCCTTTGCTCCGGTATGTTCGCTGTGCTGCCCACAGCCGTCCACGGGGAGAATGGTCTCGCCCCCGGCCAGGGGCCGAGTGGTGGCCCACCCCACAGACGACCAGTGGGGCAGCTGGCTGGGCCTGTCCTCCCCAGACGGCACGCGTAAAGGAATTCTCTGGACTCCCTTCACGCACACTTGTTGGGGCCCTTGTTGGTGTGCGTTAAGAGGAAACGTCGAGTGGAGAAGTAACCTGCGGCTGGTGGAGCCCCTGGGGCAGCCCTGCTGGGCGGCGCCCCGGCCGAGTGCGCGCCCCTCTGTGCAGGGCTTGCTGTTTGAGCAGCCTGCACTCGCTTCTCGAGGCTGAGTGGACCGACAGGCGCGTCGGCCCCGCAGACGGCTGCTGCGCTCCCCACAGGCAGGTGCCCGTCCTGCCTGAGCTCGGTCGGATGCGCGCGGGAGCTCTCCCTGAGGGCGGGCGTTGGCCCACTTCACAGAGGAGGAGGCCGAGGCTCACCGCGGCGGGCTGCGGAAGCGGGCTTCCGCCCCAGGGCCGTGGCGCGCCCCCCTGCGCCCGGCTTGCCTCCGCGCGGCGCCCCCTGGGCCGCAGGAGCACCGTGTGTTCCGAGCTGTCACGCCAGCCATTTGCAGAGGTGAAATCTGACCCCCCGACGGTGCCACAGCAGAGAGGGGTTGGGGGCGGTTCTTGGATTGTGTGAAGGTTCTGCGCTTGCTGTGTAGATCAGGTGGCTAGCGAGGTGTGGCAGGCAGGGGTCGACCCCGACACTGAGGACCACGCAGGTGTTCAGCCAGACGTGGCCTGCGTGAGTGGTGGGAGGTTGAGGCGCACGCTGGATACAGCTCCTGGCTCTCTCACGTGGGCACACGCGTGTCCAGGCGCCTCGGAGCGGCGTCGGGGCCCTCCCCAGCTTGGCCGAGCCCGCCGCTGGCCCTCCGGCGCGCACATTTTTGGGCTTCTGCAAACAGAATGAAAGCGAGCGAAGCATCTGTAAAATGTATATTTCATATTTAGGTATATAAAATATATATGGCCATGTCTGGGTGTGCGAGTGTTCACCCGCCTACAAAGAGAATAAATTTGATCTTTCAACTTTACTGGGAAGCGCTCCGAAGGTTCTAGGGGCTGAGGGGTAAAACTCAGCCTGGCGATGAAGTGATCCAGACCAAACCCTCCAGTTTGGTTTAAAACTACCCCGAAGATGGCCAGTCAAGGCCCGCTCCAGAGGAAATGGGGGCGACGCTCCCCCCACCACTGCCGCTGAAAGTTTTCATAACAAAAATAATGTGGCCTCGTCTTAAACTTATCTGCTGCTGTCGCTAGATGTGACGTTTTAAACGTCAGAGTTCCCCGCACGTCCTCCGGCGCTGTGGCCTCGGCACAGCCCCCTCCCCACCTCCCGGGCGGCCCCCGGGGTCTGGGGCTCTTCCAGCACCCGAGAGGGTGCCCCGCCGTCGGGTGCTTCCGCCAAGGCGTGGGGCCCACCAGTTGCCAGTCGGCTTCATTAGCAGGCGAGCCTGCCTCTGAGGGCGGGAGCGGCCGGGGTGTGCCTGTGCCCTCCGGGGTTTGCCCCGCGCTCATTAGGGGAGCCTTCGCCTGTCTGGGCTGCGGTGGCTGCTTCACTCGGGCCTCCGCCTTCGGTTTAAATTTAGACTGTCCTCCCCAGAACGCGCCTGCAGAACCCTCTCCGTTCGCTCTCGGGAGGGCAGCTTTCAAATCAGGTATTTCTGGAAGTGGGGTGGGGAGTGCGACCAGCTCTCCTCGGCGTGTTATGTTTTCTGCCATTAACTTTTGCCTCTATTTTACTGAAACTGCCCTCATCCTTTCAAATGTGTGGGCCTGGTTTTCTTCTTACTCCACTTGTACACACACTCACATTAGATATGTGTGTGTGTAATTTTTTCTTTTCTTTCTTTTTTTTTTTTTTTTGGGCTGGGAAGAAAAGATGCCTCATTTTGAAACCTAAAGGGGGGAATAAGAAAAGCCCTTTGTAATATATTGCCATATTATCACTAAATCCCCTGACAGTCGTGACACAGAAGCAAGTCACCTGTCACTTAAGCTGGAGGTCTCTTTAATTTTCTCCCGGAATTCGCGCCAGGCTGTCTTTAATTTGAGGCCTTTATTGGAATTCTGAAACCTCTCTGCTCCCCGGCTCTCAGATCTATTCTGAGAGCTGTTACAGAATGTATACAATAACCAACAGAGGGATTCGAGAGGGCTGGAGCTCTGTTTATTTAACACTCTGGAGGGATTTTGTGCTTATTCGGTCCTGGCTGCCCGGCTTTCAGTATTGCTCTGACAACCGTTCTGCCCTTCTCATTAATTTTAAACAGTTAAAACACAGGAAAAAGAGGGAAAAGTTTTCATTATTAAAGTGCTTTACTTTTTAATAACAGAGGATTCTGTCCGCCAGGGGAAAGGGCATCCTCGCTAATTTCACATTCATATTAAAAAAAAAATGCGAGGAAGGTGACAGTCGCGCTGCTGAGGTGGCTTAACGAAAGGAGGGCAGCGGAGAAGTTTGCATTTCACATCAGTTAAGAGCGTAAAAAAAAATCCTCGTTAATGACAATAGCAAATGTCCACTTTGGGAACACAGCTCCGGAGTGACTTTTCTCTTGACATTTGAGCAGCTAAAACCCTTCGGGGGCCGTGTACCGTGAGACCAGCTAGACTGTCATCAGCCAAACAGGTGGCAGGAGCCATTTGATTAAACTAAAAACAGTCTCGGGTTGTTAAGTCTCTATTAACACGGAGGTGAGCGTCGCTGCCGGGAGGTGCCTCCTTCGCTGCCCCTCGGGCAGCCTCCCACGTGAGAAGGCCGGGCCCTGGGCAGCAGGGCGGCCAGGCTCGCTGCTCGCACTCCGCCCTCTCTGAGGGCGAGGAGCAGGGCCTGGGGCGGCACCAGCTTTTCCTGGAGCCCAGCGGAGGGGAGTAGAGGCACGAGGGCGCCAGTCACGGGGAAGGCCGCATCCCGGGAAGGCCTGTGAGCAGGCTGGGTCTGAGCATCTGTCTGGGGGGTTTTGGCTTCATACTCGACAGAGCCTGCCGGTTTGTTTTCAGGGTGCGGGGCTGGGGAGCCAGGAGCCCTTCTCCAGGATTGTTACGGGAGGCAAAGGAAGGTATTCTTACTCGCCTCTCGCTCCTGTCAGTCTCCCGGTGCACACAGAGGCGACTCCTGCAGCGGGCTGCCTGCTGCCAGCCTGGGGGCCTGTGGCCATGTCTGCGGGAACAGCCCGCTCCGGACTGGGTTGCTGGGCCTCCACGGTGCTTCTGCGCCAGATGGATGACTGAACCCTTCAAGTCGACCCTCCAGAGGAGTGAAACTCAAGGGTGGGCAGGATCTCAGGCGCGTTCTGAGGACGTCCTGGCAGAGGGCTGTCAGGTCCCTGATGGGGTGGGGAGGGAGAGATGGAAGCTCGAGCGAGCAGTGCCCGGGCCGCCTGCAGACGGCTTCTGTTCGTGATGTTTTCAGCACCCAAATTGGACATGGAAAATTCCAAGCATCTTCTTGGGTGGTCTTTCATTTTTGCACAAGAGTGATAAGAGGCAGAGATCAGTAAATAAGTAAATAAACAAACAGACCTGGTCTGCTCCCTCACAAAGCCATCCTCATCTTTGCTTGCCTTTAACATCTTTATACCTCCCTCTTTTTCCCTAGTAATATTGAGAGGATTACCCTCTTTGGCCCCTGGGTGGTTACTGTGTGATTTTACTGTTATTAAATCTATTATAAACTGCTTCATTATTCCTGACTCTCACTCTGTCTCTCCTTTAATCCTCCCCTCGCCCTCACCGCAGTCCCGTGCCGCCGGCCCCCAGGAAATCCGAGAGCGAGCCACAATCTTGCAGACGGTGTTTGAAGATTACGTGCACTCTAGCGAGAAGAGGATCTCCTGGGCAAAGAGAGGTGGGTGGGTTCCTCAGGTGACCGCCGAGCGGCTCCCCGCAAGCTCGCCCACCGCCGCTGAACACCCCCAGGCAGCTGAGGAGCCGACAGGCAACTCTGCCCACCAGCAAAAGCCTTCAATCTCCCTAATTCTGCAGGGTTTGGAGCCAGGCACGGAAGGCTTTAAAGTGATATTAAATGTTAATTTCATCCTTTCCGTGTTTCGCACAAGTGAGGCTCTGTCGTGGCTTCACATCAGCACTGGGGAGCTGACCCGCCCTGCAGCTCTGAGGGCGCCACGTTCCTGCCTGAAAACTGGAGGGTGTGGCATGTTAGTAGACATAATTGTAGAGGGGGAGCGGAAGATGCAGGTAAGGGCCGGAAATGTGCGACCCAGCGCCCCTGTCTGTCAGCAAGGGGAGCGGCGGAGGCTGGACGGGCCGCGGGCAGAGCCCGCTCCGGGAGGAGCGCACGCCGGCATCCTCGCACACTCGACGGTGTGGGGGTTGAAGGGGCTCCCGGCACCCCACGCTTCGGGTCTGGACTTACAGTTCACTTGGCACGCAGAGCTGGACGTGGGGGCCTTTGTGGCTGGTGTCCGTGTCCTGGCCACGGAGGCCTGTGTGCCGCAGGCCACTCCCTGTGAGGACCATAGTTCTTTGACCATGACCGCAGCAGGCTGCTTGTCCCATCTGTGCCTCCCACCCCCAGTCTCTCCATAAAGAGCTTTTCTCTTCAAATCACTCCGTGAACAAGCTTGTGTGGAATTGGGCCCAGTCGGAGACGCATGGTGCCCACCAGGGATCACCACCGACAGCAGCTGGGTCAGCAGCGGCTGAGCATAGTGAGTGACGTGGCAGGGATGGCCTGGCGAGAACAAGCAGGCTCCTCCTGTTTTGGGGTGTCCGGATGGTCAGGGCAGGTGACAGTGACCTGCAGAGAACAAGACTAGTGCTGCCTGTCTGCCACTGCCCTCTGTGCTCGGCCCAGACCAGTCTCCTCTCTGAAGAGGGCCTCGGTCACTTCAGACTTAAAGCTCTCCTCCCTTCTCTCCTCCGCTGTTATTAGGGTTGTGAGTTCTGCAGGTTTGGGGAGATAAAACACCCAGTTAAGGAAAGGTGCTGAAGCCACCACATAATGCACCCCACAAGTTCAGACTGTCTTCTGCATTTTCATCTGCATATGCAAATCCCCGCCACTGACTTGCCTACTTGTAAGCCATTTCAGAACCTACCTCATGAATAATTAACAAAGCAGCTGGTTTTGCCTTTGTGGCGGAAGGTAGGTGGAAGCTGGGCCAAGCTGCATTTGTTTTTCTTTTGCATTTTCTGGCCCAGCCGTGCTTAATAACCAGCATTTAATTGCCCTCCCTTTCCAGAAGCAGTTGCCTTTGCTCTGCCTTTTCTGCATTTCTGGCTAGAGATGCAGGTACCCTAAGTTCCAACTCCAGACTCATGAACAGAAATCCCAGAAAAGGGAGCTCTGTGTCCACTGCTGTGGGGTGCAGGCCTCCCTGTCCCCCTGACAGAGGGACAGGCTGTGCGGGCCATACCTGACTCGGCGATGACCATTGTTCCTTGTGCTCAGTGGCCCCACAGGCCTCATTCTTAGAGATTCAACCCGCCACACACACGCTTTGGGCATCTGTCTGCGTGGCCTGTGGGGAGGAAGAGCAGGTGCCTCTAGGCTCAGCTGGGGGAAGCAAGACCCTCCACACCTTCCGCTCAGGGCTTTGCTCCTTCCTGTGACCTTGGCTTCACCAACACCCCTAAGACACCCTGTGACAGACCGAATGGCCATGTAGAAACGTGAGTGTATGAAGGAAGGGCGCAGAAGCCACGGAGAATGTTTTTAAATCAATACCCCTTACTCGTCTGCCTCTGGCCACTCACGAGGAGCCGAGGCTTCAGAGCCTACGCTCACCGGCTGTGCCTCCTGCCGCCCCGAGCAGCCTGCTCCGCTTCTCCACGTGCTTGGCCCTGCCCGCGTGGGCCTGCCCTGCCTCGGACAGGCCTACAGACAGCTGCTGCCGTGTCGGAAACTCGCTCCTCTGAATCACCCAAGTTCAGAGTCACGAGTACATGCGGACAGAGTCACGAGTCGTGGCTGCCCCCAGCGAGTCGCGGCCTTGGGGGCCAGGGGCCAGCCGAGCAAAGTCTGCGGCTTCAAGTGCTGCCCAGTGGTCAGGGCAGAAGCCCTACCTGCCGCTTCTCGGCAGACTCAGTATTCCTGGAAAGCTGTTAGTTGGGCACCTTCTTCTCCTGGGGCAGGGCGCTCCATCCTCCACTCTCAGGACTGGGGAGAAGGTGGGGGGACCCTGAGTTGCTGGCTTCAGCAAGGGTGCATGGGGAGCTGGCCAGGAATCAAGTGAGCGGTGTTAAAGGCCATGTTCTTTAGTTTGGCTTGGCTGGTGTTGGCCTCGTCTGGTTTAATGTAGACCAGGGTAAGTGTTGGGGGTCGGGGCAGAGAGGGAGGTTGTGCAAGGCCCCCCTCGCCGGGGCCTTGAACGCGTAGCTCTGCGTGGGAAGCCACTGCCAGCCCCAGACAGCTCAGACTGCCCGAGATGTGAGAGACCGTCCTAAAAAGCCAGTCCCCAGTTATTAGAAAGGGGAGCAAGCTTAGACTTAAGAAGGGGTGCAGAGGAGTTGCCTTGGTTATTATTTCTCATCGATTGGGAAAAGGAGTTCACTTTGCTCAGTAAACAGAGCCTTCGCGGATTCCCAGGATCCTTCCAGGGCTGATCTGCTAAAATGACACTTTTTATTACTGTTCATAAACGCCAATCTCCAGGTGCTGCTGGGATATTAGGCTTAAGCTGTGGGCAAACTTGCCCGTCCAGTGGCTCGACCAGCGAGGACGAGAGGCTGGAGTTTAGAGTCTGCTTCCAGCAGACGCTGCCGAAGAGCAGGGCTCGCACGCCAGTCAGCGGGGACGGGGGCACCTTGCAGAACAGCCCCGCCGCCCTGCTGAAGGGAGAAACAGGCAGACAGCCTGATTTTCATGGTCACTGCGAGATTTCCCAGGGGAACCAGGATAGGAAAGTCTCTCCCTGAAGGAAGGCCAGTCAGGGTGTCGTGGGAGCTCCGACCTCCCGGGTGCCCAGTCTGGCACTTACCTGGCCTTTCTTTGCTGGCACTGGGCCACAACTGGGACCTTGTTCTTACCTGTGTGGGGAAGTCCAAACTGCAGCCCTCAAAGGGTAACTTGGTCCATGGACTGTGTTAGGAATTTCATAATTTTTTTTCTCCTTTCAAATACCCTGTTTTCATTCCATTCCTTTGACTGGGAAGCACACTGCCACCAGTCTTGCGTACTTGAGGACGAGCTTGGTTTCGGAGCGCAAGGTCAGACCCCGGGGCCGCCCGGGGCTGGCGTGCGTGGGGCAGGGAGAGCCCACTCACGTTTGCACGTATTGGCTGTCCAAAACCTAAACAGTGTGAGAGTAGGAGAAGGTCCGCACCCTTTCCCACAGACATGATGCTCTGCTGACCACGGCTTAGGCTCTTCCCTGCTCCTCACCCATGGTGTGTACTGGGCTGCGAGGGGCACTGTGCTTGGCCCCGTGCCGTGATGCCAAGGGAGACGGCCCTCCTGCAGGTCACACAGTAAAATCTGAAGCGACGTCGGCTCCCTGTGCTTTTGGAGAGTTTGGAGAAAGTGCCACGTGTGGGTTTGGCTGCTGGTGTGTGCCATCTGCAGCTGTGTGGTGCTGCCTGGGCCCCACAGCCATCGGGGCAGGCGGGGGGGCGTCCCAGGCCTGCCTTACAGCCTCTCCCCTTTTCTCCCCAGCTCTGCAGTCCTTCATCCGGGCCTACACAACCTACCCGCGGGGGCTGAAGCACATCTTCCATGTCCGTCTGCTCCACCTCGGGCACGTGGCCAAGAGCTTCGGGCTGAGAGATGCGCCCCATGGCCTCGGTGCCCCTGCTCTGAAGAGGAAGAAGAGGTGAGACGCGTGCCCGCCAGGCGGCAGCGAGCCTCAGATGAGCGCAGAGGCAGCAGGCCCGGCCTCTGCCTGGCGCCGTGTAGGGCGGGCGGGCGCGCGGGCGCTGGGCGGGCCGGAGGAGCGCGCTCCCGGAGGCTTTGTGCGCCTGTGCTGCAGCGGCGTCTCCTGCCGGCTGTGGCGCACTGGGGTCACGGGAGCTACAAGACAGTGCTGGGTGGGCAGAGGAACGCAGGGACTCGCCGCCCCTTCCCCCATGGCCACCCTGCAGAGCCTCTGGGCGAGTCAGCCCTGCTGGCACGTGTCAGCCTCCCCTGTGCCAGTGGACTGGGCGTGCCCGAGGGGCCCGGGGTGCCCAGCACTGTCGGCCGCTCTCCTTGGTGCTGATGTGCTCTCAGGCCAGCATTCCTGGAGGCGAGTTCCATGACGCTGCTGCCCCCGGGTCACAGCGACAGGCCATCAGAGTGAGGAGTTTGGCCCCGCAGGTTGGAGACTGGACCCTGAGCCCATCTGCACTGTTCTGGGATCCTGAGACAACTTCTGTCACAGGCTATGTTCAGGAAAGGTCTTTTTCAGTGCCGGCCCCCACAGGGCCCCCCTAGGGCGGTCTGGCCGCTCAAGCTGCTCGTCCCGGGCACTGAGGGGCTGAGCGCCATTGTCAAGTGCGTGGTGGGGGTGGGAAGGACACAGCTAGCTGGGGGCTGGGGCCGGAGACCTGCCTTCTGCTCATGCCCACTCGGCACAGCCTTGAAGACTTGGGGCAGTTACCTGGCTTCACGTGTCCTTTGTTTTGTGTGGTTTTTACAAATGCCAAAACCTGTCTGCCCAGACTCCAGACTCGGCAGCAAAACCACGCTTCCCACGCAGCCCTCCAGCCCCACACAGTGTGGCCACTGTCTCCACAAAGTGTTGACCCCGCCCTGGCGTGTTGGGCCCAGCCCCCGGTGTGTGGGGACACACGGGGCACGGCACGCCCGGCGTCGGGGCGCTGCTGGGAGGTGGGCCGGGGGCGGCTGCCCACGCTGCCCTGCCGCGAGCCGGCCTTCGCTTCGCCTGCCTACATGGAGCTGGGTCTGCTCCACTGCTCGAGGGGAGACCAAGCTTGCGCTTTCACTGTATCGCTGAGAGAATCAAAATTAAGTGATGGGGTGGCCTTTGGAGCGGAAAGGGCCATGCTGATTACGGGCCAGGACGGAGCGCTGGAGACCAGGTGAGTCATGGCGCTGGAACCCCAGCTTGGCCTGTCGGGCCTGGCCACCCACCTGGCCCTTTACAATGGGTCAGTCCGCTGGATGCGTCTCTCAGCTCGATGCCTCTCCCAGGACAGTGCTGGCACGGTTCCGTGAGGCAGGTGCTCTTCCGCGCTGCTGCGCTGCCGAGCCAGGCGAGGTGGGCGTCCGGGAGCCGCCTGCTGCGCAGCCGGGGTCTTCCTGCCGCTGCTGGAGCAGGCCCACGCGAGGCGGCCGCGGCCTCCGAGCCGGGTGCGCCCTGTCTTCAGCTGCGGCATCTACACAGAGTGACCCTGACTATGTGTGTGGTGATCTCAGGCCCCTGGGGTCTGAGTGGCCTCTAGGACCCTGACCCCATCACCGTCTCTAAGGTGCTGAGGCTCTGGGAAGGGAGGACGAGGCCTGGTAGGTGACTGCTCATAGGAGACAGACATATTTTTTGTTTGCCCCTCCCTGCAAATAAAAGAAAGTCGCCCAGCACGGTAGTATTAGCAGAAGAGGTGCCTGTGGCCGGCAGTCTCGTCCGCAAGTCCGGGAAGGCTGGCGGGGGGGTGGGGGGGCGGGGGGCCGGGCGCCAGCATTGTTCTTACCTTGAGAAGCCGCCAGGGAGGACAGGCCTCCGCCTCCTGTTCGGCTGCCCTGGCCAGCAGATGGGCACCAGGACGGCCGTCCCTCTGTGAGCGGGGGATTTAGTGGGGCTTTCTTCAAGGAAGAATGGGCTGATTAGCCGGTAAAGAGCATGTAAGATGGTATGGGGCCGCCTTTGATGTCGGCCGGCGCGGCAGGGGCCGGCGTGAGTGACAGCAGCGTGTCACAGGATTACTCCGCCGCGACAATGCTGCTCTCTGTTCTCGCCATGTCACCGCTCTGTCCCAGCCACTTTTCCGCGGTTATGCCCTCCTTTTGAAGGCATTTCTCGCCACACTCCCTGCATCCTCCCGCCCCGCCGCCTTGGCCGTGCAGACGGGTGCTCACGGATACAGTGGGCACCTCTCTTTACGTGGGATCTTGTCACTCCTGGAGCAGGAATGGCCCTGCAGCTGGTCCACACGTGGACCGTGTCGCTGTGGCCAGGGCGGGTGGTAGGGAGAACGTGACTGATTTTCCGCGCTCCGGTCAGGGCTCATACCAGTGCCAGTTGCTGCTTTTCGGGGATTGGGAAGAAAAGTCCATCCAGCGATATATGCGAGCCCTGCTGTGGCCCTGGGTCATGATTGAGCTGAGGCGTACCTCTGCCAGCCTCTGCCAAGAGGGGAATGCCCCTTACATTCTCATGGGGCGTAAAATACAGGCCCTGAACTCTCCGTTAGCTCATGTCCCGCTTTGCGACACTCGCCGCCTGGGATGGCCCTCGCGGACGCAGGCCTCTGTGCTGCGGCCCCGGCTGCCTGCACAGCCCCGCACCTCAGGCCCTGGCGCCTCAGGCCCTGGCAGGGGCCGGGCTGCGGGCGGGGCGGGAGGCCCAGGGGGACCTGCCTGGGCGGGGGCGGCTCCGCACGGTGGCAAGGGCTGACGCGTCCGCGTGCCTTTATTCTACTGAGTCACTTTGCAGGAAAGTAGTGGCTGTCCCCCAGTGAGGTCTTAATCACCGGGTCGCTTTTTCAGTTCCCGGTTCCGGAGGGAATGCTGAACGTCTTCCCGCACCCGGCACCGAAGAGAGCGCGGGCACTACGCCTCCATGACACCTGCACGCACCTGTGGAGGGCCCCCACCCCCACCCCGCTCCTTCAGGCATGTACACGGGTAGCTGGTGCTGTTGGTAAAATATTGAGTAGCCCCTCAGCAACATCCGTCACAGGCACAGTATTTTCTCCGTGAGATGCGGTTGTTCGGAAGCAAAGGTAACGCGATTCCCAGAATCTCCGTCTCCACTCGCTGCTGAGACCCAGCGTGCTCTGCTGTGAGAGGCCGACGCGTCCCGGTGGTCGGCTGGTCCGGGCAGGGCGCCCTGCGCAGCACACATCCGGGAAGGGCGGCGGCACCCAGGGCACTGGGCTCCCGCCCTGCTGGACCCTGCGGGCAGGTTCAGAGCGTGGAGGTGGGCGCCTGGGCCTTGGTGTTGCGGCGCGGGGCTGCAGGGCCAGGCTGTGTCAGCCTCTCTGGGGTCTGCTGCCGCCCTTGGTGGCGGACTGGCCTCGTCCTGGCTCGCCGTCTCTGTCTGCTGGTGTGCTCGACACAGCCGGAGACAGCTGGAACGTGTGCGTGTGGCCATCAACCCATTCCCGGTGTCTGAGGGTCTGATTTTGTTTTCTGTTCATTTGCTTAGTCTCTCCGTACCCCACATGGGAGTGATGTCACGCTGCTGACGATCGCGCACTCTCTGCCTGTCTCACGCCACTCAGCACGACGCCCCCACGGTCCAGCTGTGTTGCTGCAGGTGGCGGCTCGCATCTCTTTTCACAGCTCAGTGGTCTTTCAGTGGGTGCGCTCCGTGCTGAGTACATGAAGGTGTTTGTGAGGGAGGGCTGGACGCTGAGGTGGTTTTCATACTGGGCTGCAGTGATCATGGGTACGGGGCCGCCGTGGGCCGCCCGGGTGCAGGTGGGTGCTGGGGCCGACGCCCGAAAGCTGCCCGCGGCTTTGTGGCTGAAGTTCAGAGCAGAGTGGGCACAGCTTCCCTGGGGGCCTGTTTTGTCTTCGAGAACCTCTGCTGTTTCACTGTCTTAGCCTTGTCTGTCAGTAATGACTCTGTACCTAGCCAGCGCTGGCCGTCGCCCCGGGGCCCGGCTCCGCCCTGTCTGCGCTGCGCTGGCCTCCTCTTGTTCCTTAGGGGCCCCTCAGGGCCGAGTCCTCCTCAACCGGCTGTCTCGCCCACGCTGCCCAGGGCGGCGGCGGTGGCAAGGGTGGGTTCCTCCTTGGCTCCAGCCCACCTGAATAGCGTCCCGAAGCAGACGTGGCCAGTTCTGTCCACTGCCCACCTCTTAGCCCCCTTGAACTTCTCTTCTCAGGACAACCTTGAGAGCACACGGCTGGCCCTGCAAGGCGGCACGGAGGCTGCAGCTGCACTCCCTGTAAAGCAATATTCTTGCCATTACGAGCAGCTCGCCTGCCAGTTTTTATGTGGCATTTACAGCTTCCCTAATATCACTTAATTAGCTGGAGGCAAACCTGGAGTCTTGCCCGCTCTGAGAATTTTCTCTGTTTCTTAGAGCCAGTTGTCATCTTATGAAAGGCAGATTGGCCAAACATGAAATCAGAGGCTGGACAAAGCCGCGCGGGGACGCAGGGACACTTCTGCGCCATCCAGGGCGCCGGAAACAACGCCCAGCCCTTTCCCTCATCTGCGCTTCCAGAACAGTCTGTCCTGTGGCCACCGAGCCTCCTGGCCCCTCCACACCCCTGGCCGGCCCTGCCTGCGCCCCAACCTTGTGGTGACGTTGCATGACTCCGACAGTTGTCACGAGCGACAAGCACGCCCCACTTTCCAAGGCCCGCCTGGCCTCTGCTGACCTTTCTCCTCACCCAGCCCCCTGCTTCCTGTCCTCCCCTCCCCAGCCAGACCCCTCCTGCTCCCTGGGACGCCCCCAGGCAGGTCCCCGCCCCTCAGCTCTGCTCTCGGCTTCCTGTCCTCTCGCATGCACCTCAGCGTGGCCCGGCTCTGTGGGTTTGTCGCCTGTTGCATCCCCAGCACCAGAAAAGTTCCTGGCACTCAGTAGGTGCCCAGGAAATCTCTCTGGCTGAAGGAGCGGAACGTGAAAGCAGCTCCTTCTGGGGGGTGAGCACAGGGGAGAGAAGGGAAGAGGGCTCCTTCCGGCCGAGTGCCGCGGGATCCCG